TGAGAAATTAAACACGGACTAGTTATATATAAAAAAATTACATTAAATTAAGCATGAATTACGTGATAGTTGGACAAAAAAATAAAAAAAATGACAAAAAAAAATCAAAAATGGACTTACACACTTTCAAAATAAATGGTCCATATATATATATATATATATATATATATATATATATATATATATATATATATATATATATATATATATATATATATATATATATATATATAATATTATCTTTACGTACACAAAATATGTACGTATACACAAACATAATAAGTTAATGTGGACAGAAAATGGTCATCAATATTCAGCGATTGACTTTCGCAAATATGCAGTGTAAGAGATTTCTATAGTCTAGCCATATGAACCGCAAATGATTCAATATAGCATGAGGAGATATGAGGAAGGATTTTGAAAATAAAAAACTTACTCGACCTACTGAACATGCCAGTGGAAGCAAGGAAATTGAATCGCTTACAAAGAGACGATGGGGAGGAGAAATTAAAGAGTACATAATACAAGAAAGATAATAGATGAAAATTACGGCGTTGACGAATTGGGAGCCATTTTAATGTCTTTCTCTTAGAGGAGATATGGTTGTATTTTTTAAGTCCATAAATAAAACGTATGCACAAATTCTGTAGCCGTTTGAACTTATTTAATTGTTCCTCTGTGATATCCAGATAATGTACATCAGTATAATCAAGAAGGGGTAATAATAAAGCTTGGGCGAATAAAACTTCCGTTTCAATGGGCAAGAATTTCTAAAAACGTTTGGGCGAGTGAAAAGAATAGTATAGTCTTCTACTTACTCCATTGATATGCTCACCCCAGGATAAGTTGCAATCAAACTTGATTCTAAGATTTTTGGCCCTTTAACATACGGAATCGGAGATTGCTTATAGAAAATGGGAAGTAAAACATCAATATTGAGCGCATTATATTTCCCATGCCTACCTATTATTATTGCCTGGGATTTATGGGGGTTGACTTAATTAAATTCTCATCGGCTGCAGTCCAAATTCTAGCCTGGTTTTGATGAGTTTTGGCTTGGGCGTTGGTTTGGTAACGCTGCCCGATTGGGTGGTAACTTACATAAACTCCAGATGTTGTTTCCTTTTAGAGAATTTATTTCATCTTTCATGGCTTTGAGCCACTCATCATGATCTTTCCTATGTAAATCTTCTTTTCTTGCATTAATTACAGCCTTTTTGTTTAATTTTTTACGACATTGTTTGGGTAGGTATATGAGCATAACATTCACTACCTATTACGCGCAATGCATGTTGAGTTTTGTTCCAAACTACAATTAAAGGGCACTTTATTTTCAACTTTTGTTGGGCCTGTATGATTAAGTACATATGCAGCAGTGTTGATTATTTCTGCTCAAAGTGCTTTAGGTAATTCGCCTCTAGCATATAACATTGCTATAGCAGCTTCAACAAGTGTACGGTTTTCACGTTCGCTACATCCATTTTGTTCTGGAATGTATGGCATCATGAGTTGCTGTTAAATTCCGTGCTTATTATGGATATTCTTGACATCTTTTTTATCAAATTCGCCACCATTATCGCTTACTATAGTTTTAACTACGTGTCCGGCTGTTTTAACTTCATTTATAAATTGTATGAGTCTTTCTTTTACTTCAGACTTGTGACGTATAAAGTAAACCATTGGATAACTCGAGTAATCATCCTTAAATAAGACATAGCATTTGTAATTAGAGAAATTCACAGGGTTAAACGAACCACAAACATCAGTGTGTATAATTTCTCCCGGGCGTGAAGCTCTTTCCCTTGTCCAAAACTTCTTTCTATGACATTTACCGTACATGCAACTTTCACATGGAACATTATCTGGACCTAGGTCTATACCAACTTCTCTTTTCAATATCTTTCATACATGGCGTTTATCTTGATGTGCAAAACGTTGATGGTATAATTGCAGTAAGTTGCCTTACTACAAAAACATTAATTTCACTTGTGCTTTTCTTAAGCAGGATTGTTTTTAAATTTAATTTGTACAATCTATCATAGTGTTTTCTACTTTCTGCAACTGTAGTGTTGCCATTCACTTGTAAAAAAACATGTAGTAATTGTAGAATTAAAAATGCTGTTTTGCTTTTTATCTTGAGCTGCCAGCATCGAAAATAAATTCTTTGTAAGTGTTGGCACAAACCAAACATTCTCGAGTTATGATTTGCTTCTGGCCTTCTACAGTTGACTCAACTTGCACGGTTCCTTTTCCAAGTGCAGAGGTAGGTGTTCCGTCAGCAGTTTCGACTGTTTCAAAAAAGCTTTGAAACTATTGAAAAGCATCTCGACAAATGGTTATGTGACGCGTAGCTCCATTGTCTATGTACCAGTTAATTTTGTCCTGCTTTTCTTCTTTAGAGCAAGGATTCACCATCATAAGAGGCTTGGTGTGAACTTGGTCTGACGTAGTTGGACTAGGCTTCAGTGGTTTGCCATCTTTAATCCACTTCTTGCAGTAGCGAACTTTGTAACCGACTCCTCCAAATTACATTTCCATTGTCTTTTATCCTTCTTCTTAGTTTGCACTTGCGTGGTGACTACGGCCTCATGACTAGTTTCTGCCTTGCTCCCTAGTGCTCTTTCATATGCACAGAGCTGACTACTTAAATTGTCAATTGTCCTTTCATGCTGATTTAAAAGTAACCAACTAGATTTAAACGGAAAATATTTTTCATCTAAAGTATCCAAAAGTTTGCATATTAAAAACAGATCAGGTAGCCTACTAAGGTTATTTTCCGGTTTCTTAGCAATTTCTACATTTAAATCATTCCAAATATTTTTGAGTTTTGACATAAGTGTAGAAACGTCATCTTCTTCATTGCGTTTAAAACTGAAAAATTCCATGCATAAACTATAAGCTCTGTCTTCGGTCTATCCATCAAATAACCTATGCAATTCTTGCCATAGTTCATAAGCCGTTTCAAATTTCATTACCTTTTTAAGTATATTTTCATTTATATTAGTGGTGATAATCAGCAGTGCGCTAAAGTTAGCCTTTTTGAATTTAGCTAGAGCTAATTCATAGCTAGAACGATCTGCGTCACCTGCTGAGTCCTGCAGGATAGGCTTGGTCAATTTATTCTCTAATACTTCTATTGCACCTTCAGTACCACGAAGTATGATAGAGATTTTATACTTCCAAGTTGCCCAATTTACCTTTCCTTCTAACATGCCAATTTGTACTTTGGACGTGAAACTATCCATTATTTCAATATTTTGTACTTGTATCCTTTCGGTAAGACCCGTAATCTGTTAGAGTAGCAGTTAAATACCTACCTTGTTAGGAGTAGATATACATGGAAATATGACCAGCGTGAAAGTAGTAGTGCCACTAATATAACACAATAGATTAAGTTTTTTTTAGTCCAAGTAATTGACAGTTTATTTATAACACATCACACACTAAATATATAAAACATTATATCACACTATTATATTAAAATATTATTTAATTTGTAAAGACAATTTGAGACAAGTCAATTTTAGAACACCGACAAATATTAAGGTTACTAGGCAACAATATTTTTCTTTTTCTATTTTCAAATTTCACTAAAGAGTTAATAATACCTAGTTTGCACCTTAACAATAATTTGAGTTACAGCATTAATAAATGTTAAGAAAGAAGTGGGTAGAGAATGCCGCTTTGTGGAACCCCAGATGCAACCTCACACCAATCTGCGCATACCTTATCATAGTGGACTCATTGCAACTGGCCCCGAAGATATGAATTGAACCAATTGATTGTAGGTGGAGATATGTTGAGATGAAATGATACTTAAAAGAATGTTACAATCAACAGAATTAAAGGCACAGTTAAAGTCCAAGGATGTTTTAGGAATAGGAATAGTGTATGCTTTCTTCCATAGCTCAGAAAAAGAGCATATGCCAAGAGAAGAATTAATAATATGTGTGATTATTGACAATAGCTCAACAACAATGGGCAGGGGTGGCCAACCGGACGATCGTGATCAACCAGTCGATCACGACTTAATAGTCTAATGACCGTTCGATCGTGGCAAGGCTAAAAATATAATATTTTGCTAATCTAGCGGAAGATACTCGCAAGATGATGATCAAGATAATAACGCAATGCTCACACTTATATGGGTAGTTACTATAATTATTTTCAGTTTTATGTTTTCCCTCTTAATAAAATAAAAAATACTATAACATTACATAATTGTGTACTGAACTATGTTGTTTTACTTGAGATTTCAAGAGGTATGTAATTAAGAGATCGCACAGGGTTTTGTAAGCAAACTTGGGTCGACTCAAGTTGGCCAACCTTGGTCTAGATGTATGAGAGATTTAGAGAAATTATTCTGAATGTCATTGGGATTAAAATTGTTAGAGATCTTTTAAGTAGACTTACTAATGCCGAGTTATAGATAATGTAGGAAAAATTATTATAGATGATGTATGAATAATTAATTAATTATGTTTGTTATATGCGGATTCCCGTTAAAATTTCATCTTTTAAAATAAAAATAATTTTAATCATATTTTAGTCATATATAATTTCAATAATGTTATAACTACAAACAGGGCTATTTCTTTCATATACATATACTATAATACAGTATGTATATATTCTTTAGAACTGAATACGTGTTTTATTTTCAGATGCTGTTTGCTTCTGCACAATATTTCCAACTATTTTTTAATGAACTAAAGAGAATTTGCAATACTCACCTGTTAAAGATAAAATTTTAATTTGTGGTAGGGTACAATAAATATGGATACTTATTTTATTTTTCATGTTTTTCGTAAAATTTGATAGTTTTATATTATTTTACACTGTCGATATCGATATACGGGAAGGAGGCGTATACAAACATATATAGATAGTTTCATTGTTTCTTACTTTGAAAAGGTAACATGAATTCAATTTCCAGGTTTCGTTGTTCTAAGGCCAGTGCCAAGTGTTATAATGTAATGATTATTTACTCTGTGTACATAGGTATATAAAGACGATTTAACTGAGTACTTACCTATTGGCATTTTGTATCGGCCTTTATATACTTATTAAGTATAATATATTATTAACATAATGTAGTAATTTTTCGTACAATGATATATAACTTGCATTTTCAAATCCAAAATTTTAAGAATAACCTACTAAAATGAAAGGAAATGAAAAGAAATATGTCAGTAACAAATAATTTATTACCAAACAATGAGTTTAGAGATGCTTTTAGTTCTATAAATGAACGACCGGTGGACGATATATCTTTGGAATTTTTTTACAAACCGCATACAATTACACTTTTGGCAGTGTCTATTGCATCGGTTATATACACAGCCTTTGTCAGGTAAGTAACATTAATAAGCTGAATAATAAGGTAAATCATATCATTAAATCTTTCCTTTGAATGATGTAACAAAAGACAAATTAGCATAAATTGAATTATGTGACAAAGTTGAAAGTATTAAGTTTAGCCTAATAGATTCATATCTTGTTATGTATTATTATATTTATGTATAGATATTCAGCATGTAGAGGTTAAATAACGTGGATACATAATCAAGTAATACATTTATCTAGTATACCTAGCTTTCATTTAGTTCTTATGGAGTATTAATAAATTTATATTTTATAGAATTTATATTTATATAAAATGTAATATGACATACCTATTTGTACCAAATAGGGTTTCTTTCAAAATTTTTTTCTAGACATATGCAATTTAATTTCTTTAGAAATGTATTGAACATTCTTCAGATGGTGGTCTCAGAGACTCAATATAAATCATCATCATATCAGCCTTTAACTGTCTACTGCTGAACATAAGCCTCCCCTTGGGGAGTTTTGCCAGTTGTAGCCACTCTTGACAGGCAAATTGGCAACCGCAGTTAGGTTTTGGAGATGTTTTAAGAGGGACACTGCTGCCCATTCCTTGTCCTCCCTTATTCACCTCATACGACACTCATGGGAATGGAAGTGGGGAGAATATAAATATATTGCCATAAAGTAAAAACAATTTAAAATTGTTATATTTATATTAATTATATATATATATATACAGTAGAGCATCAATTATCCAAACTAATTGTTGGGTCAGCTAAGTTTATATTATTATTTATAAAGTATAAGGTATTTTCTTCTTTACTAATTATGTGTATGTTGTATAGCCTAGTATAAATTTTCATTATTATGTATAGTTTAGAGAATTAATATTGGACAGAATCTTTAAATTTTTGCCTATAAACCTGCCTGTTTTGAGCCGCTAAGTCACACACTTTTTTCAAGATAGTTATCTGATACTGATGACTTTTATTTTGAACTTCAAATAAAGTAATAATTAGACATTTAAAAGTTTGACAAGCAGTCAGTATATTTTCATCATATTCACTACTTGATAAGTGCAGGGCAGTAGCCTGCCTACACATGCGAGCGAGTAGTTATTTGGTTAAGGGGTCTTTCGGATGACCAATGTCTGAATAATCGACGCTCTTGATATAGGCCTGCTCCATATTTCGCCATTAATAACGATTCCTTGCAGCTAGTCTCTAGCCTTTGGGCAAATCATTCTCCCATCTTCTTGTTGGTCTATCTCAGTTTCATTTCTCATCATAGGGATACCTCTCAATTAAATCTTGGGTTAATTTATTATTTAATGACCTCATGATGTGCCCAGTCCAATCATTGGTCTGCTATATATAAAATAACATTGTAATATCTTGATAATATTATCGATTCTGAGACACCACTCTTTTAAATTACTACTACATTTCTAATTACTACAATTACTGCAGCACGTCAATGTAACTTTATAATTAATTTATCACCACTAAAGACTTTCTCTTCAGTGGGTTCATCTTTCTGATGAATATGGGTACATACCCCCGAAGTATCATATCCCATATCTTTCCACACAGTGTCATGCTATGCCTTCCCCTAAACTCCTTTAGAATCCTATCAAATATCCTTCCTAAAGATCCAGTCTCCAACTCACGTACTCACAGTAGTGTTTTATGGACAAATTCTTCAATGAAAAGGAGTAAATAAAGTGTGACCCCTAATATGCCCCTGTGCCCCATTGAGGAAGGTCTATATTTAGCAGTAGATAGATATAGGCTGAAATGATGATGATGATGATGAGAGAGACTATCATATTACGGCCATTTCAATAGAATTTTATTATGGATGGTTGAAGTTATTAAGTTCTTATGAACACCAAGAAACACAATTGCATTCATAAATAGTAAAAGATGTCTTCTGGAACTGTAGAGTTACAGCAAATAATGTAGCAGTTTTCTTAGCTGCAAATATATTTGTAAAGATGTTTGAATGTTTGTTACTCAATGGCACTTTAACCATGGAATAAATTTGCAATTTTGGTTCACTGATGGCCTATATCTTGGCTTATTACATAAGTTAGTTTTTATTCTCATTTTCATGAATAAAAAAATTTAAATAAATCATTTTTATTCTTTACAGAGATGAGTCAAGCATTCAAGATAACATATGGTCAGGAATATGCTGTGTAGTATTTTTTTTTCTAATTGTATCTGTACTTGCATTTCCAAATGGACCATTTACACGGCCACATCCAGCTGTATGGAGAATCGTATTTGGGATGTCAGTTCTTTATTTACTGGCTCTCTTATTTTTGTTATTCCAAAGCTACTCCACAGTGTATGAGATAATGTACTGGATTGATCCTAATCTTAGAAATTTTCATATAGATATGGATAAGGTATGTCAATTTATCTTATACCTTATATTACAGTATAACTGATCCAAGAATTCAACAAAATAGCAAGTGACAAAATATTTAAATGTTTAGTCACTTGCTATTCTGTTGACTCGGGTTGTTTCAAAAATGTAGATTCACAAACATATTCCAATATGCAATGTTAAAGAAAAAAAAGAGTCAAATTGTGAGACTTTTTGTATGTAAATGAGAGTTTGTAATATGTATAAAGAATCGATATTATTATCAAATACTTAAAAACACGGAAACCATCTACTACCTGGTCTATCAACATATAAGGTGAGAGGGAACTAAAAATCCCAATAGATTGAAGTGTGAAAATTAGTTCTCAAACGTAGTTTCGGTTTTGGCCAATTTTCTACCGAACCGATTTTCTGAATTTTTCTTCATACTTGCTGAAACTGAAATATAAAGTTGGGTCGTGCATTAATGTAGATATCGAAAAAGTGAAATTATCATAATTTATATCGGCTTTACTCGCGTATTAACATCTCTCTTATTCATAAAAGTCTGCACAGCTGTGAATCGCAACAACGAAGCTGCTACTTGAGTAAAGCCGTTATAAATAATTACAAATCACAATGTATTAGTAAAACTTTCCCTATGACCTATATAAATCTTTCTGTAAAATTTGTGAATTGTAATTAACAAGTACAATGTTTGTATTTTTCCAGGAGTACGCCGTAAATTGCTCAGATATCAGTATAGCCAAAGTGTGGTCTCATGTGGATGTATTTGCATGGGGGCATTTCTTAGGGTGGATGTTTAAGGCTTTACTATTTAGGCATGCCGGTTTATTATGGGCAATATCGATAATGTGGGAGATAACTGAAATAGCATTTGCTCATTTGCTTCCAAACTTCTTAGAATGTTGGTGGGATTCTATTATACTTGATGTTCTCATTTGTAACGGATTGGGTATATGGTGTGGACTTAAAATATGTCAAGCACTTGAAATGAGAGAATATAAATGGGTTAGTATAAGGTAAGGATAAACTAAATCATAAACTTAACAAATATTAATTAACAGAGGGGGCTGTACAATGACGTACTTATGACACGCCCCCCCCCCGCTCTTTCTCACTCTTAAAAAAGGCATATTTACTTTTAAACATGTCTTTGGTCATAGTTGAAAACTCCGCTTCTGATTCTGAGGTGGGCATGACCCACCTGGCTCCTTCTCATTAATACGCCTATGGCTATCCTATCTGTGTTTCTGCTGTAACACAGCTACGCTTGTATGCCTGTATTTCAGTTTACCCGAGTGGGATACAGCAGTTTAATTATAGGGTATTTAGGTATATCACAATATTCTTCAGGAATGGCAATACTTGATGGATACCATGTGTTGCCATTCCATGATGGAATCATATTGTATGTGAGACACTCGGAAAGTTTTACGACATTAAAAAAAATGTTCTATAGGTAAATATATATTTTTATTACATCTTTTCAAAGTACTCTCTACCAGTCTCTATACAAAGTTTCATGCGTCTAAACCAGTTTTTGAAAGACATTTTCCAGTCCGCTGCAGACACCTCATTTACAGCTTGCTGGAACGCTGAGAGCGCATCATCCGGCGACGAAAATTGTATCCCTTTGAGCTGATTTTATTTTTGGGAATAAAAAGAAGTCACACGGTGCTAGGTCGGGGCTGTAAGGAGGGTGGTCTGACTGGTGTGGTTATCATATAAGTTGAACTCACACCTGACCGGTTTTTTTTAAATGGATTGTCATTAAAATCCATAGATAACACGGCCCTCATCACGAACATATTTGCTTATGTACACAGTTCTTTTTTTTAAATGGATGGTAATTGAATGGTAACCTTGCCTGCGCTAACTGTACACTCTTTCTCTGTACTCTGTAAATTCACGCCACCCTTCAAACCGAAACACAGCCATGCAAATACAACTGCTTTACGGTTGGAACACGAATGGGACAGAGGTACCCAACGACGAAAAGGTACAAACAGGTTTTGTACAAAGTCTCCCTCTGGTACTGCATAATTTAAACTTTAGTTAATATAGAAATTAACAATAATATTTGTTGTTGTTATGAAAAAAAAAAACAAAAATTTTGTTTTTTTTTTTCATAAAAATTATCAATCCATTATAAGCCGTTGATAACACGGACATTGCATGTTTATAAAAATGTGTATTCATAAACCTGTCATAACTATTTATTACTGATCTCAGGTATATATGATCTATAAATTCATTATAAACTAATCTTTAATCAAAATTATATACATGTAATAGAAAAAATATTATTAAAAAACGACTGTGTTTTTTATTCGTTCTTCTTCGCTGAAATTGCAATTCAAACTGGACAGTAGTTTAAAAAATTAACATTAAAAATGCTTATAATTAACTTTATTTGAATATTTTTTTTATTTGTTTATTTATTTAATTCCAATATTAATATATATTTCCTGTTATATTATTTTTTCAGAGACATATCTTCTACAACAGGAAAGATAAAAAGAGCCATACTTCAATTTACACCAGTACAATGGAGTCCGGTACGGTGGCTCGATCCAACTTGTACCTATATGAGGTTTTTTGCTCTGAGTCAATTAGTGGTATTTTGGCAAGTATCGGAATTAAATACGTTTTTCCTGAAACATATATTTGAAATGCCGCCATCACATCCTCTAGTCATTGCACGACTTTGTCTCGTTGGAGTTATTGTTGCTCCATCGGTCAGGTATGTTTATATTTTTTCTGCTCCATTGGTTATTTATATATCTGTTAAGATATATAATTTTACGTACGAATATAGTATCCGTATAATTTACATTTTTCGAGTAAGTATTAAGCGAAAATAACAATTATGTTTGAATAGATTCCTGTGGAATGTGACCAGGCTTTTTGTGTTTATTTTTTACCCCAGAGCTTATCTTAATATATAAAAAATCCGTTTCACGATGTTCTTTAACCGCTCAACCGATTTTAATAACTTCTAAATGTGTATTGTTTGCTTCAGTTTAAGAGAGATAGTGGTTTTTATTTCAATAAGGTGATTGACATTTATCGTATCAATTAATGTTTTATAATAAGCTTGATATTCTATTATTAGACCACTAGCTTTTTGTATGCGTGAATTTCACACGTAGTAAAACCAAAGAAATAGACCACTTTTAAGTGGCGTATCGAAATGAAACATACACCAGATTTTAAGGTAAATCTTCAAAAACGTAGCTACATAGACTGCATCCAAGTTTAATGCAAAAGTTTTTGCGTGATGCCGGAACGAACATACAGACACAAAATTATCCGATATATTATTTTTTCTTAAATATCTAAGTAAATACCAAAGTCTAACTTCGGTTGCCAATCCGCGGGCCACGCGTGGTAACTATTGGCAACACCCCTCTAATGGGGGAGGTCTATGTACAACAGTGAACAGTTAACGGCTGATATAATAATAATAGCTAAAATGTATTCTTTCAGACAATATTATATATATGTAACGGATCCCAAATGCAAGAGGGTTGGTACTCAATGTTGGGTATATGGTGCCATAATGGTTACCGAATCAATGTTATGTATAAAGAATGGCAAAGAACTGTTTGGACAAGCTCAAGTGTGTAATGTTATTGTATGGTTAATTATTCAAATTTTAGTATCAATTGGCTGTGTTTACGGAGTGGTACTGTACCACAGATATTTTGAGGTGAGTTTTAGTCTTTATGTATGTAGTACAGGTATGGAAATTAATGCTACATTTAATTCACTATCGTTTAGTGAAACTATCATTTTTATTCACAATAATATGTGACTGTGACAAATCACAAAAAGTGATTTTCGCTCGCGTTGATTTATGTCACATTCGATGCTATTTGCTATTGAAAGTGAAATATGATTTTTATGATAGAGCGAGAGAATAGACACTTTAATGCAGTGCGATGAAGTCTCTATTCGTTCGCTTTGTACAGCCCAGGCCTCAGCCTCGAGCGCAGCCGATAGCTCACGAATAAATCCAAATGCAGCATCTATCTGTAATTTCATTTAAAATTATTTGTGAAGTGACATAGCTGGAGTGTTGTATGATTTGGCGTAGTATATGAAATTTCACTTCTAACATGTGAAATAGTTCAAGCACATGTGAAATAAACTCAGTACGGTACTGCATAAGTACCGTGTTGAGTATATCCCCATTCTCACCTGTCTACTTTATTATGATAAATAAAAAAAAATTGCATACGTTTATTGCAATAAAATATTTTTTTTTTTAAACAAAATTCATTATTATTTTTGCTATTAAGCGTTACGAAACAATTATTATTATTTAATTTTCAGCCAACCAAAGACTCGAATACTGCTAGTCCTAAGAAAGATGATTAAAAGTAAGTGATGTTTTTTTTTTAAACAAACTCAATATTATTAGCAAATGCATGGAATTCGTTTTATGTTTAATATGTCTATATCTATCGAGTTACATAACTCGTATTATCTGTTTCACTATATCATGAATTCCTCTCAGATAGTGACGCACGACGAATCTAATTAGGCACTTATCAAATTTTATACCGCTTAGCAAAAAGAAATGGCCGTTACACATTTTAGTCAGAAAATAGTATATGTTTCTAATGGGACTGTTATAAAAAGTTAAAAAGTCAGACATAATATTTTCATCCACATAAAAAAAAACAATTGCTTTAATAAATTAACATAGGTCCTAAACTCTGGAATCTTAGTTTATGAAGAATAATTCGTTCGGAACGGGGACTAACGGTGCTATTGCTAGAAATATATAACAAGTCAGGTCGATCTCCACGCGTTTTATTTTATTTATTTATTATTTATTATATAGTACAGGACATGTGTACAAGACGAACTTACGGCTAAAAGCATTTTCTTCCAGCCATCCTTAGGGATGATTCAGAATACTGAAATGCGGTAATAGTATTGATTGATGAATTCATGAATTCATCACAATGAGCCGACCTTCATTCTTGCCTATCACTGATATCTCGCCAGCGTACAGGCACCGATAACACAAACGGGGTTACCATTCTATTATCATTTACTTAATTAAAATATGTCGGGTTTATAATTTTTTTATTATGCTTCTAGTTATTTATTAATGTTTGAAATAATAATTTTAAATTGTACTTTTTTTACAGGTTCCAAATATGAAGGGGAAGCTCCTTTTAGTCCATAATTAGTATAATTAGATGTTGTGATGTCAGCCAAATGAAAAGCATATATCTAAATAAATATCAATACTTAAATAACAAATTGTATTACTATATAATATCACCCAAATGGATGCTGATAAAATAATAATCATCAAATTGGTACATTGCTGTACAGGAATATTTTAACAATTGCAGGACAATACTGTACTTTGATTTCTATTAGATTACTTTCCATTTCTAAGTCGTTCGTCGCACAAAACTACAAAATAAGAACATTTATTTCGACTCGTTTTTATGTAACTTAGAATAGTAAAAGTACTGACGGCCACCTGATGGAAAACGGTAATCGTCACCTATAGATAGGGTAAGTGTGGGTATTACTGCGGTTTTTTCGTAAGTCTTCGAAAGCATTTTTATAAATTTTGGTCAAGATAATTAAGACTTTTTTTTAAACAAAAGTTTGACTCATTATTAACCCAAAATAAAATCAACAGTGAGAAAGATAAATGTTTTCGTTAAATAATAAGCATTTGAAAAGAAGTCTAAATGTATGTATTACTGCGGGTCTTGAAGTAGCATACCTATTACTGCGGAATGGCTATATTTTAGGATTTACTTAAAAATTAACAAAAACTTATTAAAAAAAATATTAATTTAATGTACCTACTTAATACCTACCTACCTAGGTAATAACAAAAATTCTTCATAATCTAAATGATAATTAACAGCCTTAACGTTATTAATTGACCAGAGTTTTATTTAATTTAAACTTACAATCTACTGATTATTGCTTTCTTGGACTTCAGATTCTTTTCTTTGGAGCTCTACTAGTTATTTTTTTCTTAATGTCCATAGACTTTTTTTTTATAATAATTCTTCTTGAGCTTCTTGCTTAGCCTCAAACGTCTTTAATTTTTTTGTTGTTGTTTAACGAACTTCCCTCTCTGTTTTTCCAATCTTATTTGTTCTTTCTTCTGAGCACGTTCTTTTTCTTGCTTTTTTTATCTCCTGTTCTATTTTTTTTTTTAATTATTCTCCTGCTTTTAAACGTTTTTGTTTAAAAGCGAAGAAACGCTTATTGAATGTCTTGCCACTAAAAGCTTTATAAAACAGATAGGAATTAAGAACTATTGGATCGGTTTTTTTTCTTTAATACGTCACATTTAAGCCAATAACATAGTTTTTGGGAAGATTCTGAAAATTTATTAATTAATTATAATACTATATCCATAGTTTCCATCATTGAATAATTAATTATATACATAGTTTATTTTTCAGTTTAAAACAACTTGATTCACGCACTTATTTAGAGGTTAGAATAGTCGTGTTTACGTCCGCAGTAATACACGCATACGCGGTTTCTCGGTACCAACGTTACTGCGTCCTTAAATAAATAAATTTTAGTGATCAAAATGTAAATTTTACTAAATTTTTGTATGTAAAAAAGGGTTGTCTAACTTCTAAATATAAAACATATAATAATTAGGATTAATAATAATTAAAACAAGAAAATCCGCAGTAACTAATACCTACACCCGCAGTAATGCCCACACTTACCCTACGAACGTTATTTAATACACAGTGACGGCCATGATGTCCTTCATGCGTTGCTATTCAAAAGGATTATTATTTCTCTATATTCTGATTCTATTTTTTATTGTCATATTCATATCTCGCCCTTCAAACCGAAACATAGTTGCGTCTGAATAGAAGATATACAATTGGGACAGAGATTTCACTAAGGTTGTTAGACAGCTTCGTAAACATTATATGCACCTTCTTGTAGAATTGCCTTATTACTACTGCGTCAACCGCGTCCACAAAATCAGCATAACACAGGCAACATCCACTCTTAATACATACCAACATACATTCATTGCCAACCTCACACACCACTCTCTTCGAGTAGAGTTATCCCTCTTTGTTGATGATATACTGCTCTGAGCGCCTACCATCCACGCATCGATCAGACAAACAAGAAAACAGCAGCAAGAAGCCACAGATTCGCTAGAAAACTGGTTCGCTGGAAATCCGTGGCGGATCGAGAGAAATCGCCGTGATCTATTTCACTTGGGCATGACGCTCATGTATCCCACTCTTAAAAATAACACACCCATTCTCTGGGTAAATGAGGCCTTAGTATTACCTTAGTATCAATCTTGATTCCAAATAAGTTTGGTAATATAATATATCAACCATTGACATATATTTCGCGAAACATACAGAAAGATATAGGTGAATTAAGAATTTTTATTCAGGAAATCTTTTAACATTAGCACAATGAGACAAGACAATACTGAAGGCAAGAAGTAGGCACTTTGAAACCGTCTTCAAAAAAGATTCAATCTTGCAACTGTATTTTTTATGTACATCTTCAACAATTTTGCATCGTTTTGAAATTTGTTTACATTAGTCCTTACATTAAAGATTTCGCTGTGATTTCAACTTGACATTTTAATTTTAGAGATAAGTTTAGGAAAATGGTACGTCAGAATCGAAACCTATTACTTTTGTGCCTAAACATCTTCAAGCTGTACGTAAGTAATAATAAGTTAAGCTTCAAGTCAACGGTTCGCGAATTGCTCGCTCGCTCGCTACCTACCACACCGGGTTCACTAAACTCTACAATAAATAATAATAAGTTTATTTCAAAATAAATGTTACAAACTGCTCCCTAAATAGGTAAATCTTGTACTTTAGGATAAGCAGTTAGGATATTACATCTAAAAACAATGTCAAGACAGTAACGGACAATTATTATGAGATATCTGTGGCGTTTATTCAATGTATTTATGAGTATCTCATATATAATTCCATTGAATAGGCGCCACAGAGAGCCACTTATGCTTTTCCGATTCTCAAAATGGACAGTAATTTATAATCACAAATGGTAAAAAAAAACAACCATAAAATAAATTGTACATATTTATTATATTACCAAAATTACATATTTACATTTCCTTATTTCCTTTATTATTACCTATCAATAGCTTGAAATATAGATATTAAAAGATGAAATAACAATGATGACCAAAACTTGTTTTCAACATTTTACAAAATTCTCGGCCTTTGCTTTTTATTTTGTAATTTTAGGGTTTATCAATAAAAAGCATATATATTATTTTTTTTTACTAAATTTATTTATTTATTTACTATACATTTTTTGAGAAAAAAAAATTAAATCATTTGTTTATTGTGTGTTCCGCCAGCATATATCGAAAGCGTCCATCCCGTTTTCATGGCATACACTTTTAAATATCGATTCTAGGAATTTTATAATACAAATAAACCTATTTTGTAAAAATATATAATAGTCAAATTTAATAATAGGTATAATGATATTACTGTAAAAAATCTAAATATTGTTATTGTATATTTCAGAAACTCATACATGTGAGCATGCTAGTAATTTATCAATAAATAATAATACAATTTATTGTATTCATATTATTAATCATTACACTTCAATAAGTTTACCAGAACAACAATTACAAGGATAAAAGTTTTTGAAATCAACATTATTTTTGTTAGGGTCAAATAAACAATTATTTTTAAGATGCGAAATCAACTTAATTACCTTTTGTAATTCTTTATGTTTTGATTCTTCTTGAAAATAAGATGATAATTCTTTATCGTCAGCAAATGTTGTTAGAATATTATTTAACTCTTCTATCTGGTTTTTAAGTTTATCACATTCCTCTTGGAAAATTTTTATTTGGGCGCTTCTTTCTTCATCACGTTTTTTTAATAAACTTCGTTGCTGTTGATATAATGCGACATATTCACATATCGTATCAGTTTCATTTTGCAATTGCATTATTATATGTTCTAATCTGTGCTTTTCATCTGATAAATCTGCAACTTCTTCCATTATTTTTAGGAAACGTTCCTGAAGCTTTAACATGGCGTCATCATTCTGATAAGTTAAATGACTTTTTGTATTTGATGGCTCAATGAAAGAACCTTGTTGTTCATCACTGCAGTGATTGTATGTACATGCACTCACATTTTCTTTATCATTAAGTTCGAGGTTTTCCGGAAGATCAGACTTATTTTGAAGTTCAATTGGTTGAGGTTCTGTACAATGTTTTTCTGATTGCTGGATTTCACGAGATTGTTTTTCAAATTCTCGTTCAAGATTCCGGTAAGCGGTTTGTAGTCTAATCATTTCTTCATCCTTTGCCATTAGTTTTAAATGTATTTCCTTTGACTTTTCATCTACTTCAGCTAATTTAATGGTTAGTTCTCGATTCAAATATTTTTCTGCTGCCAACTTTTCAGTAAGTTCCAACTTATCACTGCTCTGTAAAGTTAAATGTTTATTTATATCAATATATATATGTATTGATGGATGAAAGTATGTATATTAGTATAGTGTGCCTTTAAGCCTAATTAACAAACATTCAGATATTTTTACAAACTTTTACATTTATAATAATTAATTAAAATCTCGTATAATACGAGAGAGGGAGAGAGAAAAAAAGAGCAGAGGTTCCCAAACTTTTTTTCTTATAGATCAATTTCAAAATTTAGCTGGTTCTAATGGACCCCCTACAGCTAACTTCTACCATATTCCCAAAATTCAATAAAAATCTGAAGGTTAGATCTAACTATAGAAATTTGAGTTACGGCTGAGTTCCGCCCACGAATTAATAGTTTTCGAAAAAAAAACGAGAATTGATTAGGTAATTAATTTTACTTGTGCTGTGAGTGGATGTCAACTTTATTTTTTTGACATCTACTCACAGAAAAAGAAACCCATCAATTCTCACTTATTTAATTTAAAAAACTCCCCATCGAAGTGGTAAAAATAAAAAGAAAAAGTCTAGACTCCAGACGTAAAACGTCCCTAGACACAATTTGGTTGAATTTCAATTATCTTGAAACAGGTAGTTTTAAGTTTCAATTATGCTGAAAGATAAGTTTTTGTATAATATAAGTTTTCACATAAATCAAAATTTTATAAAAATTTGGATTTATGTGAAAACATTTAAACTTGGCTAAATATTGTTTCTATTATTTTGTGTTGTATTTATTTAAATATGTAATTATTACACTATTAATTATTAATGTTATCATGTTACATTGTAATATAACAAAATTTTTGTGGACCCTTGTTTATGAATTATGAACCCCCATTTATTTGTCACGCTAACGTAGACCCCCTGTCGAGTCTCTCGTGGATCCCTGGTGGTCCACCTGCACCACTTTGAGAACTAAGGAATTAGACTCTGAATTGCAAATGAAATTGAATATTTTCCTTGCCAACCTCTGATGCACCCTAGATTTAAAAGCGCTTTCAGCTATAGACAAAGTCATGTCTAAGAGAATATATGCGTTTTTTTTAAGGGGTGAATGAGTATTCAAAAATGATTAGAATTAAGTTTATGTAAATTAAAAATATTTATTTATTTAAAATACAAAGGTTTCAATTTTTTCAACTATTTACTACATATTGGAATATCATTTTAATATTATTACTAATAAATGTTGCTTTCTTTTTTTATACTGTCTTTTAAAGTCGAAGTTACAGCTCTCCACTGTCATCTCACTGTTTATATAGTAAAAATACGTTACAAGTTCTCCTCTTTTTATCTACTACAAAATTGAATATTTGTGTACAATTTAAAAATATTATATATAATATAGCCTTGTTAACCATGTTCCTAAAAGTGGCTAATAAATTTATTCTACTAATATCATAAATGTGAAAATGTATAAAGATGTTTGGATGTTGTAGTTGCATGCTTAAACTAACGTAACTACGTCTACCTCATTTGTGTTTCTGATTGAAGGAATACTGTCACATTCAAGTGTGTGATATAGCAACGAAATTACTGGGTACAGAAACATAACATCTTAATCCTCACGGTTTTGTAATGTATGAGGATATCATGGGCGACGACTGTGTCGCTCTACTATATTATATATGCTATACTATATATACTATACCCTGTTGTCACTGTTCACATCTATAGGTGACAGTTACCACTATTCATCAGATGGGTCATCGGTGTTTTGTCATTCTAAGTTGCAAAAAATATTTGCTATTTAATCATGCTTAAAGAGCTGGACAGATTTTCATGAAAACTGGTAGATGAATAGTCATTATATACAATATCATAGCACAGAGGATACTTTATATACAGAATCATGTAGGAAATTATTAGTTAAAAATAAATGTAAATATCAACATTTTTCTAAAGTATGACAATAACATTTGTGAGAAAGAGACATACAAAATTTACACATGATAAATTTATATATGATTTATTCATCATGATCATATAATATACTGTCTACTGATGAAAACAGGTCATAAGGAGGGGTTTTGCCAATAGTTTAATAAGAATAATTTCTATTCCTAATACAAAAGACATAGAATCACAAACTGTATGATTATGTGAAGAATTGATATAAATATCAAAACTAGTAATCCTTGGATTTGCCAATGTTGTATTATAAATAGGATTCTCTTACCATTTTGACATAAGCTTCTTCCAAATTCTGCATATCACTTTTCAATTTCTTATTCTGTTCAGTAGCCCTTTGTGCAGCAACTTTATCACTTGCAATGTCTGCATTTAATTTCAATATGTCATGTTTATGTTCAGTATCTTCCATTTCACTTAATTGTTTGATTTTAGCTACACTTGCCAAATATTTTTCCTGTATTTCTTCATATTTAATTTTAATATCTTCCAATGTAGCCTGCAAGTATAATAGATTCAGTTCACATGGTTAGTGTTCTTGGTTTATGTTAACATTCAATTGATGAACTACCACATAAAAGACTTGCCTAAGTTAAGATTGATTTTTGTGTATAGTGTTTGTCTATACATCTGGCAGGTACACAGTTTTAGATTAGATAATCTATAACATTTTATTGTACAAAAAAAAAAAAAAAAACTTGTATATATTTTCTTTCTGATTTTGCTATATATATTTAACATCTTGAGCAAGAGGGAAAAAAATTGTTAGTAATGGTATCTAACAGTCCTGTTGCTAGTGATATACTCTAATAGGTTGACCTCCATATTCTTATTGAAAATCATTGTTTCTTTTTAAATTCATCACAATGGGCCAATTGACCTACCATTAGTGATAGGCCAATATATAATATATTGATAGTGCAGGTGAGGTTACCATTCTATTCACCCATTAGAAAGCACATGAGGCATTAACTCAATGCGAACATTTATTGAACTGTATTATGTATGTGTAGCCATGAGATCCCGACAAATAATAGGCCACCCCTTCCTTTCCCATGGGTGTTGTAAGAATCAACTAAGACTCTCCCTTAGTTGATTCTTTGAGGGATGGACAGCAACACCCCTCTTAAGACATCTCTAAAAGCCTAACTGCGGTTGCCAACCTGCCTTTCAAATATGGCAACTACAGGCAAAACTCCCCTTATAGGGAAGGCTTATGTTCAGCAATGGACAGTTAACGGAAATAATAATAATTTTGTATACTAATATCAAACAGTTTGCAAGAATATTACAAGTAGAAGTAAGTATTTAAAATTACAGAATGGTGTTTTGTCTATATTTTATTTTCATACCCCTATAGGAATATAAGAGCTTGAAAGTTTAACTAATGTTGTATGTATTCTTACCTGTAGGTTACTGTAATTTTTCTCTAGCTCTTCAACATTGGTTTTACTTTTTATATCTTTTTCAACATCTTCATTTTTTATACAATAATTTTGTAATCTAATTTCCATGTCACTTATCTGCTCAATCAAGCTAGTCTCTCTGTTAGATAAATTCTGTAATTCTTTGGACATATTTTCATTTTTTAACATAACTGATTTTAGTTGTTGGTTTAACTCATTCACATAATGTTCATAATGCACACTGATCTGATCTTTTTCTTTTTGTGACATTTTCAATTGCTGTTCTAAGACTGCAATTTTTTGTAAAATTTCCTCAGTTTGAAGTGAATTGTCATTTTTGATAGTAACTTCAGAATTTGTGCCGTTTGTTAATTGCTGAAGTTGTAATTTCATTACGTCTAATTGATTTTGAACATTGCATAATTGGTTATGGAGCGTGGCATTTTCTGTCTCTTTTGCAGTTAACATAGTTTTAGTGAATTCTAACTGTTCTGATAAATTATTGTACTGATCTGATAATGTTGATTTAATTGTTTCCAATTCAGTAATTATTTTATCCTTTTCAAGCAACTTCTCTGTTAGAATTTTATCTTTATTACAAAGGACATTATACTCATCCTCTAAGTTATGATACTTCTGTTGAAATGCATTATAATTCTGAACTGTTAATGTATATTTATTTTCTAATTCATTTAATTTCTTCTGTTGTTCATCAACTTGCATCTCCAAATTTCTTTTCTGAGAAATCAGAATCTCTGTAACATTTACATCTGGTTCAAGAGTTTGGACATTTTGGTTTAAATTATGGGATTCTATCACATTATGAATATGTTGAATTTCTTCCATATTGTATGAATGTGAATTAATATTTGGATCAGGTTCATTATTTTGTATGACAGATTGTAGATTATCCTGAGGAATATCAAATTCTGTTATCATTACTGCCTCTTCTTTCTGTGAAGATACATTCTTTTTCACTTGATGATCTTTTAACTGAAAGAAAATTATAGAAATAAAATTTAATTGTTTTTATAGGAGAGTAAGGCAAACAAGCTGCCCATTGATTTTATTGTTAGTGGCCTCTACAAACAATGAACTTCAGCAATATGAGAAGAGTATGTTTCAAATTACATTTTATAAATTATTAACTGTGCACAATCCAAATACCTACTTAATTTTTTTTTATTTACTACTCGGTAGCACCACCTGGGCCAACGGGTTATGCTGGCAGGACACCAGTGAGGAATAATAGGTGAGAATGAAAAAGCAGGTTAGTTAGCTCACTGTGATGAATACACCTGAAATTCAGCATAATGGTTTCCAAGATTGGAGGTCGACCTAAGAGGGTATATTGCTACCAATGAAACTGGTAGTCCGCATTACATTACAGTTTGTGAGTAAAGAAAATATTTGCTTAATTTTAAATGAAGCTATTGCAGCAATGTTCAAAAAAAGTAATACTGTAAAGAATAATAGTTTTCTTGATATTATAATTATACCTTTTTACGAGCTAAAGCTAATTTAGCAGCTCTAGAATCCATTATGTATATTTTATCGTTAACAAGTTTTTAAATTCTTGCAGATATGGCAGTAAACTATACAACTAACAAGCAAGACTAACATTACTAATCATAACACAATCACAAATATTTAAATTAAAATAAACATTATTTCACAATAAAATTGGCAATTCTGTATATAAAGAAAAAGACATCAAATCTAATAAGTAATTAGGTATTTATCACTACATTATGTTGAGAGTTAGCACTGCCTTTGAATTATTTTCTACTTAAATCTATGCGATCTACTGTCAAAAATATTTATATATATATATATATATATATATATATATATATATATATATATATATATATATATATATATATATATATATATATATATATATATATATATATATATATTAACCCAATAATGGATGAATTAAATGTCATTTATTCAATATGTAATATGGAAATGAAGAAACTAGATCGAAATCAATATTGATCTTCGTCTAGTATGGGCAACTCCTTTTTACCGTCATCGATATCCCGAGGGACCGAATATATAGATATCAGAGTAGTTCGGATATTATTCATGCCTACTTTAAAGTATATAATACTGAACTGGTTGCACAGAAACATTAAAATGGTATTTTTTCCGAAGTTACTCGAGTCTGCATCTAGGAAACTTCTACGTGTACAAAAACTAGTTAAGAAACATCACAGTGTAGCTTACTAGAGTTTGGCTTAGTTTACATTTTTTTTATGCAATTTAGAACGGCAAACAAGCTGACAGTCTACCTGATAGAAAGTGATAACCGTCGCCTATATACATAAACAGTAACATAGACATTACATTTATTTATTCGGTATAACAAATAGTTTTTATCAGTTAATTTTAATAGTTGTAAATATTAGTTAAAATGGGTATTACCAATATTAATTCTGTAATAAAATAAGTTCTTGAATTGTAATAAAATATATTTTTCATATGAAATAAAAAAATATTTGAGGTCATTGGCGACTAGCAATGCATGACTTTACTAATCAAACTACTAATTATTTGACTGAGCAAATCATTGGGATTATTAAAATGATTTTTAAATCTTCGACTACTAATGTCAGCATAATATAGAATCTATAGGGGGGAAAGGGATTGTTAGCATTGGAGTTCGACGTTGCTAGCAATAGCCCTATCAGGTCGACCTCCACGTGGTTCCCTCTGGAAACCATCGTGAACAATTCTTATTGAATTTGTCACGATGGGCTAACTGACCTGCTTCATCCTCAACTATCATCCCTCATTGGTGCCCCGCCGGTGTATATCAGTAGCGCGGGTGGGGTTACCATTCCATTATCACCCATTAAAAAAAAATATAGAATCTATATTAAGTCACTTTGTATTATTTATATTATAGATAATACAGAGTGGCTTACCAGATTGATGATGAGAGGTGGAATGGAAGTAGATAAATATTATTCACTGGAGTATCGGGTGCACTTTAGGGGAATTTTGACGAAGACCAGACAGATATACACTTATTATTACACGATTTACGAAGCACAACAGTTTATGTTTACACATACGTTAATTCACTTTTTTCACGAGAGAGATGATGGATGATTACACTAGCAGCACTAACAGCCCTAGTAACCACTCAGACTTTTTACTAGTGCTATCCAACCTTAATACAGCATATTACTAATGTAGTCCAACTACTAATTTCATTCATTAATAGTTGTCGATGTACGAGGCGATTCGAGCGTTGGAATGTTTTTTTTTTTTTTGTAAATGGGCAAGAATTTTGCCAATTTAACTTTAGTAACAGTTATCAACTTTTCATAGATGTATTGCAAGTAAAGTTTTAGTAAAAATTTATTTATACCAAATTGCGATAGTTATTATTACAGTAAGTGAGAAAGTAAATTATTAGGCAATAATTATTATGTTTATTAAAAATAGGTGTAGGTGAATATTGATCGTTATTATATGTAATACAAATGAATGCATAGGAAAGTGATGTATTTTTTTCGTCGTCAACATTGTCATTCAGTAATAGTAAATGCAGGGAAAGGACTTTGTTATAATTATTACTAATTAGTAATGAGTCACTAATATACTAAGTTCCATAATCAAATGTTTTTCAATCGAATATGGAAATTAGTATATTACTAATATAATAGTTGAATTACAAAATTTGTAATTACTAATTATAAATTTAATAATAGCACTTCTGGATGTTTATTTATTTTCAATTAAACATAATTATCAAATACAAACTATTAGTTTTAAACCCTGCCTACTACTAATCTTATTCCTACTTATGGGGAGTAAAACACAATACAGTGAAAGGTTTATTAAACTTACAAACTATAAGAAAACATACTTAGGTCTATTATTTACAACTATAAAACGTCACAATTACAAAATTAATGTCGTAAATAACTATAAATATAACAAACACATGTAATGATAGAATGTGCTAGTGCAGCACTGTTTCATGCCCACATTTACTTTTTCCACACATCATGTGTAATCATATTTCCGTTTCGTTTTTGTAATTTCTTTGCCGGTCTTTTAGTTTGTAGTATGTTATACTAAATCTATAATTTAGATAGTGAAGCAGCTGTAAGATTGGCTCAAAACTCAGCCTTTTAATGTCACCACAGAACAAAGCACATTCAGCAATTTTTAATTCAAGAATGTATCATTACAGGACATCTTGAAGTCCTGAAAACTGATGGAGAGAATCAACTAGCTGACTTCTTTACAAAGCCTCTCTTTAAGCTCAGATTTATACAATTTTGCAAACAAGCTGGATTAAAAGAGGAGACTGGATTTTAAGAAGAGGTTTTTGTCTAATGGCAATAGAGCTCTTCTTTATCTACGTGTTATCTAACAGCTTGTTATTTTTAAGGTTTTGTTAAAACAAATTATTTTACTACAAATATATGTATTAATATTCTATTTTAAATTCGCGTTACATTTCCTGTTCCCTTTAATTTCTTAAAGATGAACAGTACCATGGACATAACAAAGTATACTGTTTTGACCATAATACCCTCAATGCGTTGCCATTCCTGCGGACTAAGGTGTAATACCTTTGTACTCTATATATTCACCATCCGTTTCCTATCCTTCAAACCGAAACAGCTATGCAAACATAACTGCTTCACGGTAGAAACGAAAACACGAAACTTGGCAAAATATGATAAAAATCGATACAATGGAGGTGATTTTGAAATGTCATTTCTCTAAATTTATCTATAAACCTAATATTATAATGTGATAATTTTGCGTAATTATTTTTTTAATCATGATTCATTATAAAGTATATAAAAATATAATAATTTTGACTTAAATATTTTAGAATTTAATTTCAATCATTTTGTAATGGAGATTTCACTGTGATATCACATTGAAATTTTAATTTTAGAAATAAGTTTACAGAAATAGCGTCTTCTAGTGAATATGTTAAAGTTGTTATAGGTAGGTATCGATTTGGACGAGTAATTTTGTAATATGTAGTAATTTGATATTTGGGTAAAAATAAAAAATATCACCTGGCAACCCTAAACACTACTGTCACTGTCATTCATTATATAGGTATTATTAGTGTCAATTTATTCGATTTGAAATTGTTCTATGACGTTGACTGTCCAGTCTTTCGTAACTTCTATATTAGTTTTAAATGTATGGATTTGGTCAGAAAATATTATGCCAACCTTAAGTTAAATAATGAAATCACAATAGTGCCAACTTAACTAACAAAAATACTGTCAAATGCGATACAAATGGCTGCCATCCAAACTATTCGTGTAACAGTTTTAGCTTTGTATTTCATATTTCTTTTTATTTTGACGTAAAAATTACGACTCTATATAATTAATACTGACACAATTACAAAGACTGCTCTCGAAATAGTGTTGAATACATGTGTTAACTATCAATAATATTACGAAATTGAGAGGTAATATTGTATAAAATAATAAATATATTTAAGAATATTATCGTTTGTTTTATTTTTGTCAAAGAAAATCTTCATCGAAACGTGCAATTTTTCATAAAATTTATATATTTTTTTTATGACATGATTCGCGTTTTAGTGAAATATTTACTTTTTTATTAATTTATTAATGTAGAAAAATTATTTAACTATAGTATCATTATAACCCTGTTTGTTTTCATTTTGAACATCAGGCCAAAATAATAAGAAAGGTTGATTTTTTGTACATTGGTGAGATATTCCTGACCCAGTCGGTTTACGTGGTTTGTATGAAGTGCAGTCTCTTTTCCTTTGTATACTCTTTGTGACTGACGATAAAAAAAAGTAGTGATAAGATTTATATACATACACACCCAATAATAATCGCTTGCTCTGACGTTTATCCGGCTATTTCTTAATTTTATTGAAGTAAAAATTAATGATGACTTTGCCATTACCAATACCGCCTTGTGCTAAAAGAGACGGCATCAGTGGATTGGCTTGTGATCGCTTTGAATATGCTAGTACCATGGCGACTACATTATTAGCCCCGGTAAAAACAGAAAGGGAAATCTTGGAACATTCTATGTCCGAGGATGATCCTAATGCTAATACGCAATTCCCAAGCAATGCAGGATCGCAACTTCGATGGGGCCCCCGCCACAAAGGAGCTCAAGAACTTGCAGAACTCTATAGTCCAGGTTAGTAACCATCACAATGATATATAAGTAATGTTAACATAATCTTAGGCCAATGAGTACCTTTATATTTTTTTTATAATCTTGAAACAATATAATACATATAATATTAGTTATAATAATTTAATATAAAACATAATACCATTGTTTAATACAGACCCATATATGTTATTCGTGTTTTCCGTTATGTTTTTATTGTACTCTTTTTAGTTTTACCAGTAAATTTAATTTAATTCTTGTAATTTTTTTGAAAATCAAGTATCATGTATATAGGTAATTATTAAAATTTCTCAGATCCCTCATGGATTACTTTGAACCATAGTTTTAATATTGGTAAATTAAAAAAATATATATATACTTATTTATTCAGTTATTATTGATATGGATTATTCATAAATATCTTATTTGTTTTCTAAAGGTTAAAAACTGCTCTTTTACATTTTTTTTTTTATTAAGTCTATAGTTTTTTTGTTATTAGATAGGATAGTATTATTCTGGCTCATATTGTATTTCTATTGTTATTGATACAAAATGATTATTTAATATAAGCACCTGTTAAAAATTACAATCTAAAAAGAATCAAATGACTTTAAAGAACTAAGTTCATTATTTGTTTATCTTCCAATCTTTATGAAAGTAATGGAAAATTGTATTCTTATTAATATTATTATAAATATCAAAATAAGTTTAAGTGAAGTCTAAGTTAAGAGGTAAGGTTTAAAAAATAACTGATTCCCCATACAAACTTTCATCCCCTATTTCACCCTCCTCAAGTTTAATTTCTGTGATAAAAAGTAACCTATGTCCTCCTCCTCCTTCAGCTTATCTCTATACCATGTCAAAATTGATTCTGTGGTTTAGGTCTGAAATATATTTTCATGAATTTTGAGGGATCCATCTGAAAGTATATTCTTTCAAATATGAAATTTTACAGTAACTAATATATTGAAAACCTCTTCCCTTTTTCAAGTCTGTTAAAAATATGATCCTCCATAATGGGAAAAGGAGAGGAAAATGGAAGAAAGAACTAAACAAAAACCTATTTACAGATTATTTTATATATGTAACCCTCGGCATGTGAGTGCAACTAACATTTGACTGACTTTGTATTGAGTAGATATCTATACTTTACCTAGATGTTGACAGAAAAAGTCCTGGATATATTATTTCAAGCTGAACTTCTTTTTGAGATGGTATTAATGTACAATCATACATAATACTACTATTAAAAACTAAGAACAAGAATTAATGTACTAGTATTATTATAATAATATTATTCTTAGTCTCAGTAATAATGAACTATAACTAACTTTTATTTAGTGGCAAAAATACCTGTACATTGTTATTGAGAAATTTCTGAAGCTAACAATCGCAAGGGCAAGGAACTTTTCGTCTGTTTGTCTTAATACTTGTATATAAAAATCTTGTGTTAAGATGTTTGTTCACGCTAATCTCTGAAACTATTCCACCATTTTAATGAAATTTTGTATTATTCGTCTAACTTGAGTATTAGTTTTAATTTTTATCTCGATAAGAAAATGTTTACTGGATTAACTAGTATTTATAATAAGATACAATCATATACATACATAGATATTGGTTATTTGTATGTACTTACTATATTAAAACTGAGTAAGTTTATACCTAGTATTATATTATCTGTGATCTATACGAATCATTCGAAAATTACTTTCGACAGATTCTGAAGAAATTTCGCGTGGTCATAATCTAATACTTTGGTCAACACCTTGATTTTTAGTCTGGTTTTATTCTTATGTAAAATTAAAATATTCTCCATGCGAACGACATCGCGAGTATCACTGGTATTATGTTTAAACGGCTGAATAGTTTTGAATGAAATTTTCTATACAGACTTTTACAGGTAGTACACGCATCTCTACTGCATAGCAGGGGTGGCCGACTTGTCTAGACTAAGATCTACTGTTTACTGACAAAACCTTATGTGATCTACTAATTACATACTTCTTGAAATCTCAAATAAAACAATATAGTTTAGTACACAATTATGTAGTATTGTAGTATAATTTATTTTATTAAGAGGGAAAACATAAAACTGAAAATTATTTTTAGTAACTACGTATTAGTGCGAGCATTGCGTCTAAGTATCTTGTGCTAGATTAGCAAAATATTACATTTTTTGCCTTGCCACGATCAACTGGTCTAATAGTCGCGATCGACCGGTTGGCTACCTCTGCTGTATAGTATAATTTTCTATAACTATTTTGAAAAGACTAATTTACATCCATAATGTACATGGTTCATGCAATAGGGATATTTATAATCGCGAATTTTTTTCTACAGGCAAACGACTGCAAGAATGGGTGTGTGTGGTGGTTTGTTGCACATTATGCGTTTCTGCCGGCATATTGATGGCCAGACACATTCGCGCGGATGCCTCACTATTATTAGCAGCAATTGCTGGTGTCCTAACGGCAGATTTTGCTTCGGGCGTAGTGCACTGGGCTGCTGATACTTGGGGAGCGGTTGATCTACCTCTTATAGGCAAAGTAATGGACACATTTTGTTCTTGCCCATAATGATCACTTTCATCATTGTTACAACGCTTCTCTTACTTGCACCTATTCGGTTTGAGCGCTAATATGCTGTTGCTTGTTCATTTTTTAAAAGTAAACTGCCAATTGATTTAAATTCGCAATTTTAATCTGTATGAACAGATTTCAAATACTATAAGATAGCATTTAAGAATAACTTCTGCAATATGTGCATTTAGTACTTTCACTGAAAATTTGTACATCCATACATTAATAGTCCCAAAAGTATTATGTAGCTACAGGCATTGACGTAATTGTACAACAAGTCGATCATTATTCAGATGTAGACTGTAAATAATTTAATAGAATAAACAATATCCAAATTTATATGATTTGTTTCGTAACGGAAAAATTTAATTAAAAAAATCTGATATGTTTTACTGATATGTAGCGACCTTTAATCAAATAACGTGAACCAAAATGACTTGCTATCATATTTGTCTCTAAAATAATTCATTTCGATAAAAAAAAAAACAAAATTGTAAGAGAATTATTAAACTTAAATCAATTTTGGATTAGCTGTATACAGCGTACCTACACTCACTACTCAGACTTGATACAATCCTGAAATAACTTCAATTGTAATTTTTCCCCTGTAGGACATTATTAATCATGATCAAAATGTTGGTAGTGACATTAGAGAGAAAAGTTTACTGTAGGTATGTTAAAGGTAAAGGGATTGTCAGTATTTAATGGAATCTAACGCACTGCTAGCAATATTCCCTTTCAGATCGACCTTCACGCGGTTCCCCCTGGAAACCATCGTGGTTAATTCTTGTTAAATTCTTCCAACTGACCTGCTTTGATCCTCATTTATCATAACTCATTGGTGCCTCATCAGCGTATACCAATACCGCAGACGGGATAACATTCCATTATTAACCATTAAAAAAACTCCAATAGTGTTGAAACGGTGTTTTATTACAAGCTGGTATTTAGTTTGTAACGTTTGTTTATTAGTTTAGGTCCAATCTTTCAAACTGAATTAGATCTAGTTTCTGGTGTTATATCTGATGACAATACATTGTGCATTACTCAATATTTTTATATTTACAAAATGATCGCCAACATCTTGAGACGTTTAACCATTAATATGGGTTTCAATTGGAAGAGTTTGAAGAGTAGGTAATAATAAAGGACTTTATTTCACAGTCAAAGGTAGTATGTTATATAGAAGTATGTTTTTTTTTAAATAAAAGGTCGTATGTTATCATTCGCAATGATAGTGTTGCGAATGATAACATAAGACCTTTTATTGAGAGACCAAAGAAAGATATAAGACCTTAGATCGATTTACCAGTAACAGCTGCGTATTTTGCTATTATTACCTATTTACTTAGCTTTACATTATAGATGTCAGTTGTAGCTTCTGTAACAGATTTGGGTTAGCTGTAGTGGGCTATATTAGTAACCGGACCACCGTTTACTCAACATCATATTTTTATGGGTTAAATTTAATTGCATCGCTTTGTTTCTTATTATCATAAAGATTATATTTTCATTACCCATTAAAATTCCATTGAATATCCCTCAATTTCTATGTCGATTGAGCAACATAAAACAAGCCTCGACACGCGCTCTGCAAGTTTAAGTTCGTATGACATTAATTTCTATGGACTTTTTAATTTTAGTTTACTTTTATTACATTACTTTACATTACTTTTTAATTTATTCTTATAAACCATGCTGTCCAATTAAAGAGTGTTTGGGTCGAAAAACAATAAAAGATTTTGAGCCTTCAATATTTAATGAGAGGTTCAAAATGTTCTACTCCAGTGGTAGATAACACGATTGGTACTATACTGGTATGATTTCACCTTGTATATTACATGTACCAGTTGGTCTATCTTAGCTTCGCAAGGGTAAACTGGTAAGGCCCACATTGCAATACTACAACAAAAGTCCCGTGGTATGTAGATATTTTTTTTTCATAACACATTCGGCCTATTCGTGCCTATTTGTGTCGTACACTTCGTACGACACAAATAGGCACGTTAATAAAAGGTATACTTACCGGGGTCCATACTCGGTCGGATTAGTTTGGTTCGGGTTTAAATATTGTGCCACTGGATAATAGTAAACTCCGCCCCCAAATATTCGACATCCGGTTTCTAGTAACAAGATAATCTAGGCTGTGGATGTAATGTATGTACCTATTCTATGTAAACTAGTAAATATGTCGCGTGAGAGTCGTCTTAGTAAGCAGATTAATAAAACATTCTTTCAAGTGCAAACTATATAACCAAATATTATTCTCTAAAATTATTTTATCTTTACACCAGGTACTTAACGTGCTTTTGTTGACATAATATGTCTGTGTCTGTGTATAAAAAGAAGGAAAAATAATATTTAAATTTTCTAACTCTAGCGATTTATTGTTAATAAATTTTTATATTACGTAACTATAGTAGATTGAAAGTATGCGGTTCAATATTAAAATCAATGGCAGCTATCTTAAATATTACTAAGCTATGTCAACTTTGATTTCCTTAGTCTTATACTACACATGCTTGCTAATTTGTAGATAAAGGTAGAAGCTTACTTTTTCGCAAAACTTCTCACCTTACACGAATTCATAAAGTATTCATTACTTATTAATATTCATACCTTTGGATTTAATTTTATGTAGCTATAATGTATTTTTTGCATTAGTAGGTAAAGGTACATTAGCTATATTTCTCATGAGAATCATTCCAGCTGTGAATTTATTTCACAGTGTGGTTATTACTAAGTAATTGTATACTGCCACTGTAAGATAATAGAAAGAAAACATAATAATATTGTAATTATTTTTATTTTGTGAACATATACATACTTAATAATTGAATCAATCATTAATTTATTTGGCCTATAGCTAGAATTCAAGACATCTGCTAAATGATGAACAACCAGTTGTCTGCCAAGGTCAAACATACATTAAAATTTAAGTTCAGGAACACAATTGTAAACCACATTTAATTTGATGCAGAAATTTACGTAACATAAAGATATTAACTCCGACGTCACGCAAGAATTATATATGAAACAGACAAAAATTCAAAAAATTATTATGGCTTCTATTATTCTTATAAAAGCTCCCCCTCGTATCAATTTCTAAAAATGTCTCTCATATACAGACATTGTCTATTTTATAGTTATAATTACACCTACTTATTTAAATATAAGTATATTGTATGGACACTTGATTTCATCACTTATCTGTCACATGACAAATGTCAACACAATTCTTCAATCTAGGGATTAGATAGCATCGAGATTGATCTACAGCTCGATATCCATATATATTGGATACCATTGCTCTCGCAATTGTAATGCTTTTTAATTGCAAAATGCTTATTAATAGAATTCTTTATGATGTTTCCAAAATCTATACATTAATATTATAAAGATAAAGTGGGCTCTGACCCTAAGTTTAGACAGATTTTAATATCATAATAATATGAATAGAACTTAGTATCGACAAATATATCGAATGTTATTACATTAAACGGCTCGTTAGGACATTTGTCCATCGACCGTAGTGCAATAAAAAAAACGGCTCGTTAGGGGGGAAAGTGATTGTTAGTAATGGGGTCTAATGAACCCATTGCTAGCAATATACCTTATCAGGTTGACCTCCACGTTGTTCCCCCTCCAACCATCGTGAACAATTCTTGTTGAATTCGTCATGATAGGGTAACTGACCTGCTTCATCCTAACCTACGAGTATCATCTCTCACTGGAGCCCCGCCAGTGTATACCGATAGCGCGGGCGGGGTTAACATTCCATTATCACCCTTTAAAAAAAAGGCTCGTTACTAGAACAATTTTAACATTTAAATATGGAATACTTTTAAAATTCAATTAAAAATAGACATTAGATTAAGATTTTTAATTTATGCGTGATAAGGGATTCCTTAATTTAACGTTTACGTCAGAATATAGGTAGGTTAATAGGCAATCTCTAAGTGTACAAGTATACGGTGTGAATACGTCAGTTCAGTACTACATGCATTAAACAGCCAATAGAGCGGAAATCAAGTTTCCAAAGTATTTGCCAGAGACTATTGGGCGAAGCGAACAGACCAAGTCATAGACTGACACGGGTGATATAATTTTCGCTACATGGACAGTTGTATACATCGTCATTAACGCCGCATACCAATGCGAAAAACGACCAAAGAGCTAAAGTCACTCGACACTATACCAATGATATTCTGGTCGTCAGTTTGCATAAGATTCAAATGTCTTTCAAACAGCTTAAAATGGCAAGGAACCGGGAGAGGACCGAATTACAGTAGAGCTTCTGAGAGCGGGTAGAAAATTGGTATTTGCAAATACTTACAAACCTCTGAAGGACTGTACGCATAACGCTGTAACGCCCGATGCGTGGAGCGCAAGTGCGGTAGCCCTATTATTCAAGAAATGTTGCAATACTCTATGGACGAAATATTTTTTTATGTATACCCCTTCTGAATTGCATCTGCGTACTATTTTTGAGAGTCCGACTAGTCGTCTTACGCGCAAACTCGGCGACTTCTAACCACCCTAACAAGCTGGTTTCCGAAAGGGTTTTAGCATCATAGACCATATACACATTTATTTAATTTTAAATTTTTTTAAAATCTATGCACCGCCATTTTCTCTGTTTAGCGTAACGATTGACTGGTAGAGAATGCAATCAGGCATTAAGTCCGCCTTGTAGACATATTTTAATGTGTGCAAAAGTATAAATACTCTACGGCAGATTATATAGAAGACTAACGAGTAAAATCTGCCACTAAGTCTTGCGTTTGTGGACTATGTAAAAGCCGTTGATTCGGTCGAGACATGGGCTGTATTACAGTCCCTCCAATAGTACCGGATTAATTATAGGCATCTCGAGGTGCTGAAGTGTATCTTCAGTAAGACTACGAAGTTGTAGACGAGTATGTATACCTGAGACAAATTGTCCGACTCTATAAATTTAACTTTAACCGAGAAATCAACTGACGAATCCAATTCGACTAGGCAACGTACGGAAAACTACATCACATTTTATCATCCAAAATATCTTTAAATTTAAAAAAACGAATGTCTTTAAGCAGGACGTGTTGGCAGTAATAACTTATGGAACCATGGTCCTACATGATTACTTGTTGTGACGACAGATGTAGTGACGACCTCAAATGCATTGCAGCGAGTCAATAGATGCAGGTGGCAGTCTATGGGGGAAGCTTATATATATATATATATATATATATATATATATATATATATATATATATAAACAAATATATCTATGATTTTTATATATAAAAATCATAGATATATAGCGGCAATAAGATCAACAGAACCCGAAACAATATTTTTTATAAATTTTGTCTCTACAAACTTACATCTTGCAAAACTACTGCATCAAATTGAATGTGAGTTCCACAGTCGTGTTTCTGAAGGTCTGACTTAAAATCTGGTATATGTTTTATCATGAGCACCATCTACAAGTGGTCTATTTCACTGATTTTCGGAAATCCACGCGTACGAAGTAGTAAAAATCTAGTTTATATGATTGAAGTTCGAGCACGTTTGATTAAAATAGAGCACGCAGACTCTAACAATGTCAATTTCTAAGTTTTATTCACTCTAGCCTACAAAGACGACAATTTGTAAGACATAATACATTGTTATAATTTTTCTATTTCAGAATTTCCTACGGCCTTTCCGTGAACATCACATTGATCCTACATCAATTACTCGACATGATTTTGTGGAAACAAATGGTGACAACTTTGCGATAACTATACCTGTGCTTGCGCGTATCGTATGGCAGTTGTTGACTTATGATAATATTAGCCTTGACAAAGAGTTCCATTGGATTTCATATTGGTATCTATGTTGCATATTCGTGGCAATGACTAATCAGGTAAGAAGGAATATCAATCATCTCTCCTGTTCCCATATGAATATACAAAATACTCTTTCTTAATGGAACCTTGTGTTACAATAGGACATTTGTAAAATATGAAGTTTATAAGTTTCATGGTTTTCGTGATTTTGTTATTAAATAATTATACTTTTCGTATAACTATCATAATGCAATATATTAGCATTGCATTTATGTTTCTCTAATATTTTCAGATTCACAAGTGGTCGCATACGTATTTTGGACTACCATGGTGGGTGGTGTGGTTGCAAGAGTGGCACATAGTCCTACCACGGCGTCATCATCGTATTCACCACGTTGCGCCGCACGAGACTTACTTTTGTATCACCACCGGTTGGCTTAACTGGCCCTTGGAAAAACTTCGTTTTTGGTCCACCTTAGAGACATTTATTGAGGCCTTAACCGGATGTAAACCTCGTGCTGATGATATGAAATGGGCACAGAAACGTTCCTAGAATGTAATTAAATAAGTAGGTAGTAATGTTTTTATACTACCGTCGATACTCGTCCACATCTACCAAATCAATTAATAGATAGAATTTAATTAAAAATGAGTTTAATAACAATATTTGTCGATTTGATCGCTTATGTATTAAGGTACCGCTAAACACATAATTTCCTTTCGAAATATAATATAATTTATATATATACACACACACACACACACATATATATATATATATATATATATATATATATATAATAGTATCTATCTATACAGGTTGAATTAGAAATCATTAGTATCCTTTCAAGGATGTGTTCTATATATACAGTGTAACTGAATATATTTCAACTTGGAGATATGGACGTGATTAAAATTTCTTTGTCGTTTTTTATATTACTTTGTTTGGGAAAAATGATCGATTTCATGGGTAGAACTCACGTTAAAGGGATGCTAATGATTTTGTAATAATCTTGTATATTGAAAGTATAAAAATGTGAAATTGTGCAAAGTACATCCGAATATTATGTAGTATATTGTTTACTAAAAAGACCTTTTTAACTCCATTTAAAAATTAACATAGATAAAAACTGTGTTAATTATCATGTTAATAAGTTTATTATTATTGGTCTGTTTGTTTAAAACTCAATCAACTGTGATGACTACTTATATATATCCGAGCCAGATCCGAGCATTCATACTATAGGAATGTCTCCATTATCTATCTAAAATACGATGTTTAATGCTATATTTATTTAATTTGACTCAAATCTACTAATACCAATCCTTAAATTATATAGATAGAGCATTGAGTGTAAAAACGGGTCAAAATTTAGTCTGTTAAGATGTTTTGCTGACATTTTTTTTTATTAATCAAAATTAAACGACATGAATTAAAGTTATTACTTGTGGTCCTAATAGATGTGACAAGCAATAATAGTAATAATTAACACAAGACATCAATATACGAGTAAGTAAAACACAGAATTGTAAGATCCGAATTTTTTTTTTTCTTTCTTTGCTTACAGTTTTATTTTTGAATGATTTCAATTAGTTGTCAAACGATAGCTTTTTATACGCAAGTGAATATTTGATTAAAATTAATTTATATGAATGGGGAATTCTTTATATTTTATATTATAGTATTGAAGTGATTTTTTTTTAAATATGATAAAATAAAAACTACATAGTTGTATTTTCGTTTATCACGATTGAAACGATTTACAAAATAAAACTTAACATTTCTCAAGTAAGCAATATTTAATATTACATTTATAGAGTTAGATATCAATTATTTTATTCAATAACCTTGGTATCCGTATAAATTTTTATTGTAAATTGATAAAAAACGAGTTTTTCTATAGCAATAAGTTTACATTACCTGTTCAAAAATAAATAACGAATAAGGGGGTACATTTTTTAATTGTTTGTTTGCTCAATGACGTCATTTTATTTTTATTTCATACAGCATACGCTCATAGCAAATCTATATCATTTTTTTTTACGTAAAACACCTTTTTCCATAAGTAATTAAACATTTCTCAGATTAGGTCGTTTTTTAATTTGAGTTTGGTTCCATTTGTTTTTTTTTATATAAATATACACATGTAAAGCTTAAACGTTAATTTACATGTATTAATTAAATTGGCAGTCATTTTCTATGATTTAAATATTAAAATATATTTTATGTCTATACTGATATATAAATCAAAGTATTGAGTTAAAAGAAGCATCATTACGGAACATTGTGCACTGTGTATCTTGTCCTTTCAAATTTATTCGTAAAAATTTTGTATATTTTTTATTTTTGAATTTTACCCTACAAATAATTTGTGGCATATATTGAGTAATAAACGTACATTATAGTAAAATGTTCACGCACATTTGGACAAAAAAATTGACCAGTTTTAATAAAACATTTGTATGGATACACTCTATCTATATAATCTAAGTACTAATCATATAGATTTGCACAAAAATCTATATAGTAGATATTGTTGAAAACCAGCGGTACGTGGAACTTTATTGCGTGAATAACGTTTTAGTTATTAATGTAGTAAACAGGCTCAAGTACCTAAACAAGCAGGTTCTATTCTTGGTATTGATATAATCTTTTATTATTTAATTTTAATTTCATTCACAAATATAATAATTTTGACTGGAGTAATACATTGTTAGTAGTAGAGTATAAACTATGTAATTGTAAATAATGACGAATATAATTACACAATGATGAATGTGACGCATATTCAGCATGCGAATGACACTTACGACATTGATCTAAGTTCATGGAAAATAGGTAAAACAGAGAACAAAGTAAAGAACTCAATGTTCTTTACTTTGTTCTCTGTTTTAACAATGATAAATATATAAACAATAGACATTTTTTATATATATTTATTTTTAAAAAAACATACAGCCTTATTTAATCAATACATAGTTGTAATACAAATTACATTTATGTTGAGTCAAATTATTCAAAACATGTTCTATACTGATAGAGCAACCAAACATTTCTCATATTACTGATAGGCTAGCGTCGCATTAGGCCTATTGCTGATCCCTGGTCGTACATTGCATAGAAAAGTATGCAAGGCGTTGTCGACATTACGTCCGCCGAAGATACGCGTGTCGACGACCGAACAGACGCCGGGTGCTAGCGTTCCGTAGCGTTATGTCGACGTACTTCATGATTGATCTTCTGCGCGGTATGACTGGAATTAACAAATATATACAATTTAATATATCGATGTTCCGTCGCCGAAAATACGCGACAGAAGATCTGCACAAACAAAACTAGAGTAGGAGTTGTATTCGCTTATTTGCATTTCAACATCAGGGGTACAATAATACTCGGGACGGCGTTCATAAGAATAGTGACATGTGAATATTGATTATTAGGAGTATAATCGTGTGAACTAACTAAAATGTATTTTAGTTAAATTAATGATAATTTAGATCGACAAATGTTTTTCTCGTCATTATTTACTATTATAACTGTGACAGCTGCGGTGACCTTTGTATTAGGAATGTCTATGAAAACTGAGTGAAACGAAATATCTAAATGATAATTTTGAGCACCTATGCGGTCCCACCGCAGCATATCCGTTACACATGGTTACACGATATACTTATTATGTTATAGGTTACACAAGTCTGGAAGTGGCTTTAAATTGCATGAAGCTTCTGTTGTGAACAGACACAGGTATAACGCTTCTAATTGTCTTTATTCGTGTTTCCAAAGAATTTAAATTACTTACGTAACATTATTTAGAAATTCATTGTATATTTCTTATACATTTTCCAAAGCAATAACCATTGTTAATAAAATTTATTTTTAATATTTTATTTATTTATTAAAACATTAGTTGTTGGTATCTTACTAATTCATAAATTATAAAAAAAAAAACCTATCTGTAATAATTTAATCCGCAGTGATGAAACAATTATACGGTGATATTACAGCCAAAATAGCGCCTACGGTAATGTATGAATCCAAATAAAGAGTTAAATTTTATGTAGCTTTTGATAAAGTCTTTATGATGGATTTTAGAAAAAAAAAACAAACATTGACAACTTTCCTTTTCATGTAGAGTTTGTAAGTGATGGAAACGCTATTATTATCTTTCTACAAAATGTGTAAAGATATCCAAGCGAAGGTTATACAGTCCTCTTAAATGTTGTAAATATAACTTTCTGGTTATGGTCTATCTAAATTATGTTTCCATAAAACTGTTTTTTGTTTGATATTCCATCAAACTACACATACACATAGGTTACATATAGTTCAAGAAATATGGCTTTTTATTATTCTAGACTAAAATCGAGAAATTTGGCTGGTGATGATTAAGGCTAAATAATTTAAAAATTTTACAAATAACTGACTAAATAAATTATAACTAAATAAAATAACCGACTAAAACCTAACTTCTAAATTATATCGCTATTTCAATTTTTCAGTAAATTGCTTTTGACTACCTACCCTAATATGGATATAGTCATGAGTTTTGTTTAGTTTTATTGTTTTTGTAACTTTATTTACCTTAAAATGTTATAGAAATATCAGAAGTTCCTTGGATTTTTTTATAGTCTTGAAAAATATATGTACATTTTTTGGAACAACTATAATATGTAATATGTTTCTCTCAAGGTCGGAAAACAAACAATTGACTGCCGAGTAATATTATGTTGGAAGTAATATTGGAAAGACGAACCCAAGTCGAGTATTTCGTATTTTTAACGAAAAAAAGAAAAAGAGGAGGCTCTTAACATATATTTGATTATTTATTTATTTATTCTTTATTGCACAATAAAACTTTGTACAAGTGGCGAGCTTAATGCCATATGGCATTCTCTACCAGCTAACCATTAGATAAAAACAGAAAGCGTATGAAGGGCAGATGAGGTGAAAAATATGTGACATAATTATAGCAACACACTGAAATAATAATACATAAGAAATACACATATAACACATAAATACTACTTATAATATATATAGTTATTCTATATATATATATATATATATATATATATATATATATATATATATATATATATATATATATATATATATATATATATATATAACTATAAACATTATGAGATATAGTAACTATTGAATAACCTGTAACTAGAGCTAGTTTTGTTGACTCAACAAATAAGTCTTAACAATATGCTTATTGGGTGCTCTGCGTAGGTCTAAAGGTATTTTATTACATATTTAGCATATATGTATTATATTTTTACATGTATTACTATAACATTTACACTCTAACGTTTTATAATTTATTTAACACTTTATTGCACCGATATTACAAGACTTGTTGAAGAATTTGAGATAAAGTATAGTGTAAAAGGCAGTCTTATTGCTAAGCAATTTTTTGTAGACAATCTTTGGGTAGAAAGAATGAAAGATTACATTCTATATATGTATAAAATATAAGTTGATTGGACTTTTTAAAAATGTGGCTTTTTCGAACTATGACAAGATTTCAAGCGTTTAGATGAATAAAATGCGAAAATTTGTTTCATATAAGTACTTATTTATAACTTACTTCCTATCATGTTGTAGGAAGACAGTAACTCACTTCTAGTTCAAAAGAAATTAATCTTTAACTACAATA